ACTGGGTTGCGAAGCTGCCCGCAGCCTCTGCAGCGCCGGTTCAATCCCCGGCTGCTCCCCTCAGCAGTGTGCTTCGGTCTTTCTGCCTGCTCTGCTCCCTGCTCTGGCTCTGGTGGATTCTCTCACCCTCCCGCGCTTCTGACTGTACCCAGTGCTTGTATAAATAAATAAATAAATCTTTTTTTTAAAAAAAAAAAAATAAAATAAAATAAAAAAGGATGAGAGAGTAGAAGCAAAGAAAAATCCATTTCCCAAACAAAGCAAATAATAGAAATGTTCTCCAAAGCACTGTGGGAATTTCTACCTTACAGCAGTATCTAAGAGCAGTTACTGTAGAGTTTGTAAAATGCTTATACACATAAAGCAGCAATGCAATGCATTCTGAAAGCATCTGTGCAGCATTAAGTATGATGTGGATAACAAGAGGAAAAAAAAGAAAAAACAGGTAAATGTACACCAGCATGAAAATCTTCAAATATCTCATTGGTGGCCTATCTTAAAAGGGAAAAGTTCTATATCAACCAAGGAGAGAGGCAGCACACTGGTTAGCTATAAAAGAAGAAAACACCTGAATGTAATAACACGTAAATCTTACAGGGCATGGTGGGGGGGAGGGGGGACGACACAGGGGGAAGAGAACTGAGTGTTTTTAACTATCAAAGAGTGTACTGGAGGGCCTCCCTGGTGGCGCAGCGGTTGAGCACTGGGTTGCGGGGCTGCCCGCGGCCTCTGCAGCGCCAGTTCGAGCCCCAGCTGCTCCCCGGCCACCAGAGGAGGGTCCCACATGGCGCGCAGACCTCTCCTGCCGCCCGCTGCTCCCCTCAGCAGTGTACTTTGGTCCTTCTGCCTGCTCTGCTCCCCGCTCTAGCTCTGGTGAATTCTCTCGCCCTCCCGCGCTTCTGGCTGTGCCCAGTGCATGTATAAACAAACAAACAAATAAAGCATAAAAAAAAAATTAAATTAAAAAAAAAAAAAAAAGACTGTACTGGAACCCCACCTGGATCGCTATAGCAGGCACTGGAGGCTGTTGTCCAATATCCACTTTCCCCTTCTTCCTTAGTAGCAGAATACCTGAGCTTTAGCTAAGTGCATGCCAGAATGAAGACTACATTTCCCAGCCTCCACTACAGCTAGGTGTGGCCATGGAACTGAGTTCAAGCAAACAGATCATAAGTAAAAGTATTAAGTGTGATTTCCAGGAAAAACCCAAAAAGCAACTGAGTGTAATATTCTTTGGGATCCTTCTTCCTGCTGACTAGAATGTGCAGGAGGGAGCTAGAATGCAAGCGGCCATCACAGACTGTGAGGAAGAAGTCACAGGTTGAGAATAGAACAAAAGAAAGAGACTGGCTCCCCGATACTCTGGAGTGCCATATCAGTCCTGTGTTACCTGTCTCTTCACTTCTTTTATGTAAGAGAAAAGTTAACTTTTATCATATTTAAAGTCACTATTTTACTTTTTTTGGGGGGAGGGCCTACAAACAAACATAATGCTAATTTAAAATTTGGTGCCAGGAGTAGTACACTTCATGAGAAAGACCATAACACATGTGCTACTGGCTTAATAAAGTGGTAGTTGGTGAGTCCTTAGCTACTGAAGACTGAAAAGCTGGTGATCACTGTTGTGCAGTGGCATAGCCACTGCCTTCCATAGCTTTAGGGAAATCACAGGAAACATTCAGTATGTTGCACAGGCAGCTGCTGCTTGCAGCCTTCAACAAAATTATACCAGAGAGGTAAAACTCAGACCAGACAAGTTAGTAAGCAGCAGAGATGAAAGGAATATAGCCTTGCTAAAGAGAGTGTACTCTTTCCTGTCATCTGCAATTTAAAGTTGACTAAAACCTCTCTGGACCCATATAGAATAGAAAAAGCAAGCCACTTCTACACTGCAAAGTGATGCAGTTAAAAACAATGGCTGCCAAGGGGAGTTAAGATTGAGATGTGCATAGGGGCCTCCCTGGTGGCACAGCGGTTGAGCACTGGGCTGCAAGGCTGCCCACAGCCTCTGCAGCGCCGGTTCAATCCCCGGCTGCTCCCCAGCCACCGGAGGAGGGTCCCACATGGCGCGCAGACCTCTCCTGCCACCCACTGCTCCCCTCAGCAGTGTACTTCCTCAGTCTGCCTGTTCTGTTCCCTGCTCTGTCTCTGGTGAGTCCTCTCACCCCCACACCTCTGGCCTGTACCCCAGTTCTTGTGTGCATAAATAAATAAATCTTAAAAAAAAAAGTGAGATGTGCATAGAAAGGCTATAAACCCAACTACCAAAACAAAAGGGGGTAGAATGGGGTTGCCATCTCTCAGAAGCCAGTTGTTTCTGACAGCCTCCCAATAATTGCCCTTAAATTAGGGGGGGTGGACAAGGACAAGGCACAGAGATAAGTAAAAGGCCAGTCATTAGGCTTAAAAACAATGCTTAATCCAAGAATTTATTCCTCTGTATACAAAGGAATACAAAGTCTTCAAATTTCCTATACAGTAGCACTTAGTAATTGCTATGGACCAGTGACTTTTATGCTACTAATTCTTTCCTTTTTTATAAATGGTAATTTTTTTATTGCTCTCATTCTATTTCTATCATACACTAATTGTTTTGGGAACAGTTACATTGTCTTTTAACTACAGGTCCTGAGCCATACCTGACTGAGAAGACTAAACATACAGACGACCTGAGCTTTGAGCTGAATGCAATAACCAAATGAAACACTGAAGCAGTCTCTCTTGGGATGAGGTGAATGTATTGCATGTATGAAAAGAAAGGAAGACACGCATCTTAGTCCAACCAAAGGGGTGGACTATAGTTAAAACATAAAATCCTAATTATAGCCTCAAATCCATTCTCCTCTTCTTTCTTAGTAAACAAGACTCAGGCACATGGTGAGCCAGACTAATGACTACAATTTCAGCCTCACTGGAAATCAGGAACAGTCCTACAATAACATTCTGACCAGTAAGCTATAAGGAAGTATATAAATATCCTATACAACTTCTAGGAAGTATGGCTAAAGGGAGAAGGCATGCCTTTCTTCAGCCCTCCCTCTTCCCTGTTGCCCCTAGACTGTACGACTGGAGCTTAAACAGCTGTGTCCAATTTTACAATAAAAAATGCCAACCTGGTGGCACAGGAGTTAAAAGTCTCAGGCTATCAAGCTATCTCCAGTCACTGCAGCATGAGTTCAATCCCCAGCCAGGGAGCTAATCCCCATGGTGCAGTAGATCTCTCCTGTCTTGCCCGCTGCTCCCCTCAGCAGTATATTTCGTCAGTCTACCTGTTCTATTCCCCGCTCTGTCTCTGGTGAATCCTCTCACCCTCCCGCGCATCTGGCCTGTACCCTGGTTCTTGTATAAATAAATCCTTAAAAAAAAAAAATGTCTAGCAGATACAAATGAAATAACACATCAATATATAACTATTTCCTCTAAATGGCTACAAGAAATATCAAAACAGGGCCTCCCCTCATGGCGCAGGTGGTTGAGCACAGCACTGTCCTCAGACTCTGCAGCGCCTGTTCAATCCTGGCCGGCGAGGGTCCCACATGGCGTGGCAGACCTGTCCTGTCACGCCCACTGCTCTCCTCAGCAGTGTATTTTGTCCATCTGCCTGTTCTGCTCCCCACTCTGCCTCTGGTGAATCTTCTTCACCCTCCCACACATCTGGCCTGTACCCAGTGCTTGTATAAAAAAATAAATCTTTTAAAAAAAAAAATCAAAACAGTTCAAGACAGTGACACTCATATTATCTACCTATGCTTAAAAAACTGCAATATTAATGAACATTATATATTTCAAAAATACATACATGTGAAAGTTTGCAGTACTGTGCCTAACCTTTTGTGGGCATTCAGTGTCAGCTCCTTTCTTTACATTAATTCTTAAGAGTATTTTCATGAAATAATTCTGTTAACTATTACCTGAATATAAAGCAGGAGAATAGAAAGATAATTTCCTGACTGACCACTCAAGGTAGACCTTGAAAATTCAAGCCACCAGATGATGATATTGGGATTCCATTGCAGGTTAAACTTGAATCTGTTTCTCCAACCTTGCTTCTAAACAGCTATGGACCACATTTCCAAGGACCACATTTTTCCTGGCAGCAGTGTATTAACAGCACCTGTTCTTTATGACCAAAAGTCAGCCTCAAGAGCCTATGCTATTCTAAGAGCAGGTGCAGCGAGCGTCCAAAGACTGTCATCAACCCACAGAACCCCAGGCATAAGTTCATGGATCACCTGGTCATCCTCCATCTATCAAGTTCACTGCACCGGAGAACAACGGGGTCTCCACAAACCTAAGAGCTACATCAGCCAGTAGCAGCCCTTACCCTGACAGGAAATGTCCTGACAGAAACAGGTCTGCAGAGCTGTGTGAAACCACTGTCTACAGCTCTTTTAGTGGGTGCCTGACACAGGACCGACAAATGAGCCAAAGTCATATCTGGTATACTTTTGTTCAGGCTCTGGAGCTTAAGACAGGAGCTAAGAATGCTGTGTCAAATCAAACTCTAGTGGTTACAGATGGACAGAGTCTGTCATCATTAAAAAAATTTATAGTTGCCAGTAACAGCCTGGCTACTGTCATGACAGGCCCTTTGTTGCATTTAGTCTACCATTCACATAAGCTACTGAATGACCAGGAAAAAATAATCCTATCACTACCCTCCACTCCCCACAAGCTGGTTTACATGGTGGTCGCAATACTAAAGTTTCTGCCAAGAACTGGATCATGGAAAGTGTGTGAGTGCATGGCTCTGTTCTATGACCACCAAAATTTTAAATTTATTGTGTTGTTTCTTGGCATTTGACACATTCTAACAAAACAGTAGATGTCCACAACATTATATAAACTATGACAGACTATACTGGGACCATAAATGAGACTGCAAAAGACAGTGTTTCCCTAAACAATAGCCAAATCTGATCTCTTCAAGTTGAGCAGAACTGAAAATACTAACACTTTAGGAAAGGAGGTAGGAAAGAGAAAATAAACCTGAGACCTACCTTGTTTATAATTCCCACAAACAGGTGAAATTCAATTCCATGCCAACCATATCTTGTGTTCACTAAAATACAAACAGAAAAATAAAAGTTCATGCAACATAAGCAGCTCTTCCCATTCTTTTTTTTAAGATTTATTTATTTATACAAGCACTGGGTACACTCAGAAGCACAGGAGGGTGAGAGAATTCACCAGATCCAGAGTGGGGAGCAGAACAGGCAGACTGACGAAGTACACTGCTGAGGGGAGCAGTGGGTGCAGCAGGAGAGGTCTGCACACCTTGTGAGACCCAGGGATCGAACAGGCACTGCAGAGGCTGCGGGCAGCTTCGCAGCCCAGCATTCAACCACTGCGCCACCGAGGAGGCCCAGTTCTTCCCATTCTTAAAGGGCTTTTAGCTTCAAAGGTAGGAAGTTACTTCTTCCATCTATCCTTTTCACCCAACCTTCACAAGTGGTTGAGCTATGTCACTGGCAAAAAGGTCCAGATAGATGGAGTTAAATAATAGGTAAGGGGTCTCCCTGGTGGCACAAGGGGTTAAGTCCCAGCACTATGAGGCTGTCCACAGCCACTGCAGTACGAGTTTGATCCCCGGCCAGGGAGCTGACCACATGGCCCAGCAGACCCTTCCTGCCTCATCTGCTGCTCCGCTCAGCAGTGTATTTCAGTCAGTCTGCCTGCTCTGTTCCCCACCCTGTCTCTGGAGAGTCCTCTCACCTCCCACACCTCTGGCCTGTACCCTAGCTCTTGTATGTATAAATAAATAAATCCTTAAAAAAATAAATACTAGGTTAAGACTAATTGAGCATATATTATATGCTAGGAACTGTTCTAAGTTCTTAAATATACCAATTAACTTAATCCTCAAAACAATCCTGTGAGATAATTACTCTAATTCATTTTATATCCAAGTAACAATTGACATACACCTCTGAAAATTGTTTTTATTGATGTTAAATAATGCTTTTAAAATAAGTGTAGGCAATCTCAACCACTGTATCTGGGCTGCCTCAATGGTTGCTATCTATAAATGTTCCATAGTCATCCATTCATTATGTATTTCCTGACTCCCCACAACGTGCTTAGTGCTGTACAAAGTACTAGGGAAGATTCCTTCTTTGCCCTTAGGAATCAAGACATAGTTGGGGAGAGCAGACTAAACTACAGGGAACAGTTGAGAACAGAATGCCCTCTTATGAGATACCCTCTCTGTGCAATTTTTCAGTAAAAAACAATACCCTTTGGGAGAGGGAGGAAAGATTCATAGAAGAGGTGCCTTAATGCTGGACCTTTAAAAGTTGGTTGCATGGGGAAAGAAAGGAGCAAGGCTCTTCAGGCAAGGAAACAACAGCAACAAAACCATGGCAGAAGGGACAGGACACGGCATATCTGAGGTCCTTCACACTCTGATCCCCCAGCCTTGCTAGCCTCTGCCCTGGTCACTGATCTTCCTCCTCCTCCCCACCAGCCAGACCAAGCTTCCCAATACTAGGACTTAAAACCTCTGATAATTTCACTGCTTCTCTTATTACTGGGACTGTTCTCCTCCCTTTCCCCTGGTGGGTAACACGAAGTAACGTGGAAACACATCTTAATATATGGCAGGCACTCAAAATAAGGCTGTTGTAAATATTATTATTATTAAAGAGCCAACATTTTTCTGAAGTCTGTGTGATTTCCCAGAGTTATCTGCTCACCACTCTACCACACTCACATGGCATCTGTCCATCTCTCCATTAGAGCAGTAAAATATTGTATTGTCCCCAGGTTTCCTTTTTTTTCTTTCTCTCCTGCTAGTCAGAGCAGGAAGCATGTTTTATAAAACTCTATAACCCTCCAGGCCTAGCACTGTGTCTGGCGCATAACAGGTGCCCATTTAGATACTTGTTGACTAAAGGTCCAATTAGGCCATTCAAATTTATAAAGTGAACAACAATATATTTCTTCTAAAGTCAGCTTCTTCAATACATTTACACGATTCAGTTTGTCAAAGTCTACTGCACTTTTACTAAATTTCATAAATGTCACTAATAATTACACCAGTAATTCATGAACAAAAAGTCAAAGTGGACTCACTAAAAACTGATTTATTTGCTTCACAACAAAACAAGGTCTTGATCCATGCCAACAGAGAGGAGAAAGTAATTGAATTCACTTACAATTTAGACACTGGCTGGTGACCTCTCTCACTGAAATGGTGCCACACTTTGTATGCAGTATGTATGTTTATATTGGCTTCAGTCAGGGATCATAGTGGTTACAAGTTTAGAAGTCCAATCATAAATCCAAGGTTTATTTATAGAAACTTTCCATATGGAAGGAGTTTAAGAAGTAAAACAGCAGTCTTTTTCCCTGCCGAAAGCAGAAGGCAGCAGATGCCAAAGGAACAAACCCTCTCCAAACTCTGCTCTTGGCAGTGCTTAACGCAGGGAAAGAAACGTGCAGGGCAAGCAAGAGCCTTGCTGAAAATCAGTCACCCAGAACAACAGGCATTTTGAATGTCTGTGCTATTCAAGACTGAAGTATTAATTTTATATGTGCCCATGTTCATTTAAAGCACATTTGTGGTCTGGAACTTAAAAAATGTTCTAACGTGCTAGTCTGTCCACATATTAATCTAGTCAGCCAGGTTTGAACATGCCAAGCTTAAAATACTCCCTACATCATTATGCAAAGGTATAATGAGCTCAGTCTTTTATTCTCAGGAAAAGGAACTTAGTGGAGAATGATTAAATGTATTATGATGGAAGCTATAACAGAAAAAGTCAACTCCTAGATAGTGAAGAGTTACTTTTTTTTTTTTTTAAAGATTTATTTATTTATTTATTTATACAAGCACTGGGTATAGTCAGAAGCGCGGGAGGGTGAGAGAATTCACCAGAGCCAGAGCGGAGAGCAGAACAGGCAGAAGGACCGAAGTACACTGCTGAGGGGAGCAGCGGGCGGCAGGAGAGGCCTGCACGCCATGTGGGACCCTGACCCGGCGGCCGGGGATCGAACCGGCGCTGCAGAGGCTGCAGGTAGCTTCGCAACCCAGTGCTCAACCACTGCGCCACCAGGGAGGCCCTGAAGAGTTACTTTTTAAAACAGCTGAATGAAAATAAGATTCAAGTTAATGACAGGTTTTTTTTTTTTTACATTTATTAATCTCAAAATGAGACCCTGGATTTTTAAAGTTCTCAGAGAATATATTTTGAACCTGATTTCTACATGAGACCATTTTATAAAAAGGTTGTATTAGTCATTCTCTGACTAAGTCGCTTTAGAATCCAAGTCTAGCTTACTTTATATTGAGTTATATTTTCATATGATGGGATTGTAAGCAAAGTTCTTTTATCTGTTTTAGAGAAATGTCAAGAAAATCTGGAATGACTAAATTTTTATAAGTAAAGCTCAAAAATTGACACATCCAACCCTTTATTTTCAGTAGGGGAACCAGAACAGAGAGGGTTCAATGACTTGAGAACAGAAATCTGGGAACAGAATCTGATTACTAGTCCAGTGAATTTTATTTTCCTACATACTAGCAAACACACTGTTGATTTAAAATAGAAAATGTTTTAGAAATTAAACAGAAGTTTAAATACTTATACCCTTTCCCTAACTAAAAAGAATTAGGTATGTGTGCCCTAAAGATTAGGAAATGATACCCTTTAAAAGATTGAGCAGTGAAAAATCATAGCAGTTATTTTCATGGCTTTCAGCTCAATTCATGCTCTCATAGAATCTCTACTGGAAGTTCGGCTTTAGAAAGTTTTCCTGACATTCCAAAGAGGATGTAAATAATTTTTATAATCTAAGAGATTATCCCATCTTCTAGAAAACAAACTTCCCACAAAAAAAAAAAAAGACTTCATACAATCCAGAATCTTCTTTCAAATAAGCATTTTTTCCTGAAATATTGCCATTTTCGCATCTTAATGGCGAGGGTGGGAAGCTGCAGAAAGTTAAAAAAAAATTTAACAAAAAATAGAATGGGGGGGGTGAAAGGAAAGGAAACAGGTTTGGTACTGGTATTTAAAAAAAGGCAAAATGGGCCTCCCCGGTGGCGCAGCGGTTGAGCGCTGGGTTGCGAAGCTGCGCGCGGCCTCTGCGGCGCCGGTTCGATCCCCGGCTGCTCCCCGGCCACCGGAGGAGGGTCCCACATGGCGCGCAGACCTCTCCTGCCGCCCGCTGCTCCCCTCAGCAGTGTACTTCGGTCCTTCTGCCTGCTCTGCTCCCCGCTCTGGCTCTGGTGAATTCTCTCGCCCTCCCGCGCTTCTGACTGTACCCAGTGCATGTATAAACAAAACAAACAAAGAAACCAGCAAACAAATAAATAAAGCATGCCTCTATAAAAAAAAAAAAATAAAAAATAAAAAAAGGCAAAACCCCACAATTTCCAATTACATGAATCAACTAGTAGTTTTAAAGCAGTCTTTTTTTTTTAAGGCATTGGGGTACATATTCACTATAGCATGACAAAGACTGAGACACCTAGGATGAAAAAAAACTTAAATATCATTCTACCTGATTATTCTTCATTTTGCTCTTTCTTCAATTTCCAGAGAGAGACAGACATTCAACCTAAATACATTCAGTAAGGCACTAGAACATACACAATACTTCACAAATAAAAAACTAAAACCTTAAACCTTCCACTCATAAGAGTTATCAACTCTGGGCCTCTCCTGGTGGCGCAGCAGTTGAGCGCTGGGCTGCAAAGCTGCCCGCAGCCTCTGCAGCACCTGTACCATCCCCGGCCGCCAGCAAATGTCCCCCATGGCGTGACAGACCTCTCCTGCTGCGCCCACTGCTCCCCTCAGCAGTGTATTTTGTCACTCTGCCTGTTCTGTTCCTCTGGTGAATTCTCTCACCCTCCTGCGCTTCTGACTGTACCCAGTGCTTGTATAAATAAATAAATAAATCTTTAAAAAAAAAAGTTATCAACTCTATCACAGCTCCAGTTGTACCTTCCTCTGCCAGCACCTCAAAAACAAACCATGAAAGTATCTTCCACTTCACTGTGCAAAATGATTCAGATGCTGCAGCTCTAGTTCAGATAAAGCTATCACCTTTTTATAC